ATTCATACTAGCCAAAAATTAGAAACTACCATGTAGTCTTTCAGTGAGTGAATGCTTTAACTGTGGTACATCCATACCATGGAATATCACTAAGTAGTTAAAAGGAACAACACATTGACACACACAGTAACTTGGATGAAATGCAAGGAAATTATGTTGTGTGGAGAAAAAAAAAAAACCTCAAAAGAATACATACTGCATGATTTCATGTGTGTAACCTTCATGAAATAACATAATTATAAAAATGCAGAAGAGATTAGTGGCTGCCCCTGATGGGTTAGGGATGAAGGAGCAGGTGGATGTGGCCATATAAAGATAATACAAGAGAGTCTTGCTATCAGGGAGTCTTGTGGGGATGATACAGTTGTGTTATCTTGATTGTGGTGGTGGTTATACAAGGTGACACATGTGATAAAATTACATAAAGCTCTATACACGCACACAAACGTACATACACACACCAGTGCATGCATAACTGGTAAATATGAATAAGCTCTATGGATTGTACCAATGTCAGTTTCTGGGTTTTGATATTATACTGTGGTTGTACATGATGTTGACATTGGGGGAGGCCAAGGTAAGAACGCACAGGCCTTCCCTGTACCTCTTGTGCATCTAAAATTATTTCAAAATAAAAAGGAGCATTCTGGCTACCAAGTGGAAAATGGATTTGAATGGAGGCTAGGGTGAATGTGGGGGGGAAACTATTGTGTGATTAGCGTATTAGTCTAGAAAAGAGATAAATGATTGTGGCTGGAATTGGGTGGTAGCCGCAAGAATAGAGAATGAACACATCTGAGAAATATTTAGGATTTTGGAATTTATAAATTTTTGGAACTTATACATTTATGGAATTTATAAAATTAATGGATGGGATGTAAGAGGTTAAAGAGAATGACTTCAAGGGTATTTTGAAGTTAAACTTTGCCCCGTATTTCATTGCCTTGAAAATAAATATACATTTAGGACAAGATAGCAAAAATTTGGAAAACACCTTTTTTTTTTTTTTTTTAATAGAGCCTATTCCAGAACCAGAGGTGCTGTTGATAGGAGGTCACTTAGGGAGCTTTCCTGGTTAAAGTGCACGCGAGCATTGTGTGAATAATCAGTCTGTTGCCTCTCAACCCCGCTTTAGCCTTCACTGCCTGCTCTGCAAAAATTAAGATAGACCCCTTAAATATTCTTCCTTTGTCAGCTAGCATGATGTTATACTTTGTCATAGCGGGTGCAGGAGGAAGGGGTTTTCCTTCCTGTTACAGTTGCTCCTCTTGGTGGCCTCCTGCAGCACCCACGTCTTCTCCAGCGTCCAGCTTCTGTAGCGCTGGCAACTCATCCAGGGCCAGGCTCCTGCAGTACACGCAGCACCCAAGCCCACAGCTTCCTCTGGCACTCTCCGCTAAGGTCAGAATCTCAGCCTGGAGAGGGAGGGCCCTCTTCTTTGGGTGCTCCATCTCAGCCTTAAGGGGAGTGGCTCCTCCTCAGACCTGCTTTTCCCACTTTTTTTTTTTTTAATTATGTATTTATTTAAGTAATCTCTGCACCCAATGTGAGGCTCGAACTCAGGACCCCGAGATCAAGAGTCACATGCTCTCCTGTTGGAGCCAGCCAGGTGCCCCTGCTTTTCCCAGATTCTTTAGCCTTCTTTTGACTTCTTACTATCCAATCCCTCCCGACAGTAGTCTCCTGCTGTAGTTAATAGTTCTTTATATTAAACTTAACCCTATTCAAATTACTGTGTGGTTTTGTGTCTGGATTGAATCCTGACTCATAAAGACATCCCCCAAATTTTGCTGTTGTGATTCTCTCAATTTTGAGCTTTTAATGGCCCATCCATATTTGTCAACAAAGGGCTCCTGGTGGTTGACCAATGTATAGAGGTTGCTAAGCTGACCACGTTTGTAACTATATCGTGGAAGGATTCAAACCAATGTTGCAAAACTCCCAAACACCTAGAATGGGGTTTTCTATTTCTATTCAATTTTAAACACATTTATGATTTTAAATGTTTGAAAATAAAACAGGATTTTTTTTTCTGAAAAAAAAAGTTTACATGTAAATCTACACCAACTTATATCAGTCTTTATACTTAAACACACCACTGTTACCCTCCACAACACAAACAGGCAAAGTTTGAGATGTAATATATTTAAGGCAAAAACTATAAATTCAATACTTCAAAATATATGAAACAGACGTTTAGTAGATTCCAGGCCACGGATGGCTGCTGACAGAAATGAGTACTTCTCTCTGCGGCATGTCATAATGTCGATCGTTTCTCTCTCTCTCTTTTTTTTTCGATTGCCCTAACACTCCCGTTTTTTCATTTTTCATTCATTCTCCATTTCCTTTACAGCTTCCTCTATCTCTACCCATCCTTTAAAATGTCAGTGTTGGTGTGACTGGGTGGCTCAGTCGGTTAAGCATATGACTTTGACTCAGATCATGATCTCAGAGTCCTGGGATAGAGCCACTCCCCACCCCACTGCACGCCTGCCTGAGGCAGTCGGGCTCAATGGGAAGTCTGCTTGTCCTTCTCTCTCTGCCCCTCCTCCGCCCCACTCGCTTGTGCTGTCTCTCTCAAATAAATAAAACCCAATAAAAATAAAAATAAAATAAAATATCAGTATTTCCCTGTATTCCGTCCTTGGCTCTCATTTCTCATTGATCCTGGGTAGCTTATCCATTTTTAGGTAATGCCTCCTTCATTTATATCTGCAGCCTAAGCCTGTCCCGAGCTCAAAAGTCAATTATGTGATCCAACCTCTAGTCTAGGAGTCAGCAGATTAATCTCTGGGCCAAATTCAGTACACTGCCTGTTTTTATAAATAAAGTTTTGTTGGAACACAGCCATACCCACTTGTTTACACATTGCCTATGATTGATTTCCTACTACAATGGCAGAGTTGAGTAGTTGTGACAGAGAACACAGGGCCTGTGAAATCTATAATATTTATTATCTGGCCCTCTATAGAAAAAGTTTGCTGACCCTAAGCTGTGCTTTCTACTGAGTTTTAGGCATGACCAGACATGTATTTTTAAACAGTGGGGTAAGCCCACCAACAATAGATTTCCCTGAATTTCTCTGTATGAAAGAGGGAGTAAAGATGAATTCTGGAATTCATAACCAAGCATAATGGATAAAGACTGTAACAGCAAAGTGAAGGGATATTTTTGTTAGGATTCCGTCATACTGGAGGCATAAGGAATTATCATGCACAATTCTCATTGCTGTAGAATCACATAGAGAGCATTTAAACACAGATTTCCAGACCTCATTCTCAACAATCCTGACTCAGTAAATCTGGGGAGGGGTTTGGGAATCTGAAATTTTAGAATGCCCTCCAAGTCTGGCATGTAACAAGTAAGTAGTCAGAATTTGGAAGTCAAATCGATCTAAAAATCCATCACCGGGTAAGATGGTCTTTTTATTCTTGATGAATCATTAAAAAGAGGCCAATTTGTTTCTCTTGATTTACATATTATTTGAGTCTCTAGCTTTAGGGAATCACAATAAAGAATTCAAAATCTCTTAGCAATGATTTTGCTCAACCACTCTCCTTGCACTAAGGTTTATATAAAGAAAACTCTACATTTCCGTAATGACTGATATTTCCAAAGTACATCTCTCAACAACCCTGTAAGGTATAGTGTAAGACCCAATTTGCTTTATCACAGAATTAGCTTAGGCTTTATCACACTCTAACAAAACCCTGTCAATCCTGTCATCCCAGGGCCCCTTCCAGTCTGTTTATTCATGCATTCATTCAACAACAACAACAAAATGTGAACACTTGCCAGTCATTGTTAGGTACCAGAGGATACAGCAGTGAACTGGATAAAATTCCTGCCTGCATGGAGCTTACATTCTAGCTGCTGGGGGGTGGGGTGGGGAGGAGGATGGGCTTCTCTTTCGAAGTGCCTGCTGTACAAAATTTTCCCCAGCCTATCCTAGTCTGGATCTTCTAATGAGAAATTTTCTCAAAACTTACTAGAGAAAGGGTAAAATTTGTCCCTCGGACATACCCTATCCTTTTAAAGCTGATTCTGAGGCTATGGTGCTTGGCTATTATGTAGTTGCTAAGACTATACATTGGCTTCATGTTTACTTCTGTTTTTTTTCTGATACTGTATGTGCAGTTGAGTGAGTTTTGAGTCTTGTCTCCGCAGGGATGAGACTCCTTTTGTTTGTGGTTAGTCCTCATATGAATGAGTGCTTTTCAGTGATTCTAACATCAAAATAAGCCCAGTGTCTCACCTGATTGAATATTAGAGCCTGCACCTACAGATTCCCTTTCGTAGGATTACTGGAAAACCTAACAACAAACAGGGACAACAGTTTTGTAAAAGTACGTCAAAGAACGTCAGAACTAGAAGAGACCTCAGAGATGCAGCTCCACTGCCTTTTAAAGATCATAACTCAGAGAGGTTACCTAGGTTGCTTCAGGTCACACAGCCCAACTGATGGGTGTGAATCAGTGACCAAATCCAATGTACTATCACACTGGGGTTCCTTCTCCTAAAATGTAGTAACGTCTAAATCAGGTCCGGTCTTCTCACCGCTCCTACCCACCCTCCTCTCTTGTATTAAAGTCCCCATCGCTCTTTCCTGAAGAGTCGTCATTAAAACTCGAAGTTGGGGCATTCCACAAACAGGTGTCCAGACCACGGACACCGAGTCGGGGAACGTGGATCTCCACAAGCCGGCCGAGAACTCTCCAGCTCCCGCTTACAAAGTTTTCTCGGATCCTACGTCCCTCTTTCAGATCCCTGGCTGCGAGGCCAAGATGCCTGCTGTGGCCTCGGACGAAGTTCGCAGATGCCATTTCCTCGCAGGAGCGCGGCCGGGAAGGGCCGGCCGCAGAGCCGGGCGTCCTCAGGCCTGGCGGGCGGCGGGGGAGGCCGGGCGCGGGGCTGGGCGGGGCGGCCCCTCGGCGCGCGACTGCCCGCCCCGGCTACGAGGGCCGCGGGCCCGCGAGTCCCGGCGCGGAGCGAGAGGCGCGCGCGGGCCGTGGGGGCTGGGCCGAGGCGGAGCGCGAGGCGGCGGCGGCGGCGGCAGGCGCCGCGGGACCAGGCAGCGGCCCCCGCCCCCCGAAGTCCGTCCCCGCGCGGGGCTGGGGAGCTCAGGGCGGGGAAGCCGCGGGGCCGCGCCACGTCCCTCGCCCGCCCCAGAGCGCGTTTTGCAGGCGGCTCCAGGCCGGGGGCTTTTGTGTCTGCGACTCGGGAGCGGCGGGAGCGCAGACCTCCTCCTCAGAGGGCGCTGTGAGTGCGCCGCCTGGGCCCGGCCGCCCGCCTCCTGCCTCCCCTGTCAGCGGCTCCCGAGGCGGCGGCGGCGGCGAAGAAGAAGAAGAAGAAGAAGAAGGAGTGGGAGGCGGCGGCGGCGGCGGCGCACTCGTCCTCCGCACATGCCGGCCCCGGGCGGGGGGCCGCCCCCAGGCCGCGCTCCCGGCCGCCGCCGCTGAGCCCGGCCAGCCCCCGCTCGCCGCCCGGCCGCCCCGAGGCCTCGTCTTCCTCCCAAACTTTGCAAAGTCGGCCCGCGTCCCCGCCGCCCTCGGCCGCGCCTCGGCTCGGAGGCTCGCCTCGCAGCCGCAGCGGCCCCGCGCGGAGGAGGAGCCGCCGCCGCAGCATCAAAGAGACCGAATTCCCGCGGCCTGGGGGGGAGTCATGCTTTGCGGTCTGTAATGTCAGCAGAACAGGAGAAGGATCCCATTTCGCTGAAGAGAGTTCGAGGTAACCGGGAAGGGCACGGGATGGGGGGGATCGGGGCGAGTGGGGTGCGCGGGGCCGCGTGCCCGGCCGCTGGGAGGCCACGGGGCTCTGTCCGGGCCTAACTCCGCGCAGCCCGCGCGTCCCGCCGGCGCCCCGGGGCCGAGGCTGCGGTTCGAGGCGCCCGCTCGCCCCAGACACCCGCGCGGAGCCCTCGCCTCCTCGACTTTGTGTTAGGCGGCAGTTGAAGCCGCGCTCAGCATCCCTCGGTACCCCGCTCCTCTCCCCCCTTAGCTCATTCGCGAGACAGCACAATAGGCACCTCGAAGGGTGAGAAAGAAGCACCCCCCGGCAGAGACCACGAACGGTGCCCACCCCCCAAAAAGTAAGTTGGACTGCTCAAGAGTTGACGCTTTGAGGAAGGTGTACCGGGCCTTCGCGTCCCTCCCAGCCCCCCTCCCACCTCAAAGGCAACAAATACACAGCTTATTTTGCTCGGGTTTACGAGGAGACACTATATACATTCAAAAGGCATTTTCTTTATTGCCTCGTGGGTAAGAAGCAAATCACCTAAAATCAATTTTATACGTGATTGGTTTGCTTCTTCCTTGCACACTAGTTAGGAAATTTCCTGCTGCCTTACTATCTAAGAAAAATCGGAGGGAACGCTGTACCAGACAAAAGATAATGCATGTAAGTTCACAGATGCCAAATACGGCTGGAAATTTGGGGGATATCCTCCAGTTTTTATTTTCAGCTCTAAATAGGGTTAAGGCTGAAAGTCCCAAAGTTGAAATAACACTGTTTGTTCATTAAGCAAATATTTATTGAACATGTACTGTGTGCTATGCAGTGTTCTTGGCACTGGGGTACAACAGTGAACAAAGCAGAAAGAGTCTTCACCTGGCAGGAGTTCACACTCTAAACAGATAATGAACAAAAGGTATAGAATATCAAATAGTAAGTGCTCTGGAGATAAACAAAGCAGGTAAAGTGGTTAAGAAATACATCAGAGGTGGAGAGGTGTGGATTATGTGTAAGAGGGAGGACTCATGTGGAAGATGATGTTTGAGCCAGGACCAAAGGAAGTGATAGACCAGAGCCATATAGATATGTGTGGGAAGAGCAGTCTCAGCAAAAGGAACAGCAAGTGCAAAGGCCCTGGGTCTGGAATTTGCCTAGTGTATTCAAGCAACAGCAAAGAAGTTAAGGTAACCAGCAGAGAATGAGCAAAGGGAGAGTAGTATGAGCTGAAGAGAAAGATAGGGTGAGAAGAGGTGTGTGTGTGTGTGTTTGTGTCTGTGTGTATGTATGTGTATATGTATGTATTTAGGATTTTATTGATTTGAGAGAAAGAGTGCACATGCATGAGGGGAGGAGGGGCAGAAAGAGAGGGAGAAGCAGACTCCCTGCTGAGCAGGGGCTCAGTCCCAGGACCCCAAGATCATGACCTGAGCCCAAGGCAGCCGCTTAACTGACTGAGCCACCCAGGCGGCCCAAGAATTATATTTTTAACAGGGTTTTTTTGGCTGCTCTGTGGAGAGTAGACTATAGGGAACAAGGGCTGAGGCACGGAAGCTAGTTAGGAGGCTATTGCAATAATCCTTTCATCCAAACAGGATAAAGTGCTTTATAAATCAGTAAGTAGTAAGGTAAATTTCCAATTGACTTAAGTGATGTCGAGATCAAGAACCATGGTCATTCATCTATGTTTTTGTTCCACGTGACTAGAGATTAAACCTAGAGAACTGGATTATAACACAGTGACAATGTGGTACCCAAAAAACATCACTTGAGTATTTAGGTAGAGATTGATTTTCTTAGCCATTTAAGCAAAAACATAATTTAGAGCAGAATATTGTTTTTAAGGCTTAATATCAGCATAGGTTTTCTATTTCGGCTTTCTTTTCTATTTGTGGTTTTGAGTTGCCAAACCCTTTAAGGAATAGACTTTCCTGAGATACAGTTATTCCTTTGATATTCTTGCCGTATTATTTTGTCTATTATTATAAATTACTTTGGGGTTGAAGGAAAAAGAAAGAGGGCTCTCAAGTTTATACCTTTGAACTCAACTATCAGTCTTAATCAAATGTAATTTTGAATAAAATGGATGGGTATTTTATTGTAGGTCAAGAGCACAGATCTATCTTTATTTTGTTCCAGCTACTGCTTTTAAGTTTGGTGGCTTAGCTGTTTGTCGTTGGCTCAGGTGTCAGCTCAAGAATATTCTGCGAGTTAAGTACCAGAATAAAAGGCAAAGAAAGCACTTTTTAAAATAAAAAGTCAGTATGAGGAAGGGTTTTTACAATAAGTCACTTTGTTGTGGCTATAACAATTTTTTTCCATTTTATTTATTTATTTATTTTTTTAATTTAATTTTATTATATTGTGTTAATCACCATACATTACATCATTAGTTTTTGATGTAGTGTTCCATGATTCATTGTCTGCATGCTCCATGCAGTATGTGCCCTCTTTAATACCCATCACCAGGCTATAACAATTTTTAAAACATTTTTGGATTATTTTATAAAAGGTACCAGAGTATCTGCATGAGTTCTTCTGAAGCACAGTTCTGCTGAACTTGACTGCTCTGCAACTTTTTGTTGTAATTTATATCCTAAGACTGCATGCAGGATGTAGTCTTTGCAGAACATAAACTGTGAGCAGTGCTTAAACTGTTTCCCATCCACCCATGTATACAGACAGATTTAAATAGTTATGTATTTATTTCATATGTATTATAAAAAATATAAGTCATCAAACCTCTTGTTTAGGATAAGGCCAATATACACACACACAGTTTCAATTTAAAGAAATTATTAAGCAAATAGTATTATGGATGGAACTCAGACATGGCAAAATTATGACAACATGAATGACGAAGGACTTTATCAGTAGTATACTGTGTAGATCAAAAGTATCATATTCCCTGGGATATTTTTAAAAATGTAGGTTTCTGGGCCCACAGAATCAGGATTTCTGGGAGATTTCTCTACATCTTTAACAAGATCCCCCATGTTCCTTATACTTACTAAGGTTTGAGAACTGCTGATGGTAGACCTAGATTGAAAAGGTGAGTGGACAAGAGGAAGCTGATTTGTGGTCTTCTAAACTTGTCCTGATATTTTAATATTAGATTCAGAATTGCTATTTAGTGGCAAAGTATCTTACTCTTATTTTCTATCAGTTGTTACCATCCCCAGTCCCTCAGCCCTTGATTATAAGAAAGATCCATGAAGATAGGTACAATATCTTGGTTATCTTTCTATTTCTCCTCTCATTGCTTTGCCTGCAGTAAATGCCAAATGAATGAATGAGTGAATACATGAAGTAACTCATTCATATGTTTATGCTGATTTTTGATCGTCTGTTCTGTTAGAATGTTACCTGTCATCCTTATTTTAACCAACATTCTCATTATCCAGTATTCTTAGAACTCTTAGGTGTTGATCTGATCACAATATCCATTCATTTATTCAGCAAATATTTATTGAGCAGTCATAGCACCAGACAGTGGAAATATTGATTAAGAAGGCATAATTCTGTCTTCAAGAAATCTTTAGGGTGCAGACAAATAAGTAGTTACAAACAGCATGAGAAGTGCTGTGATCATCTACAGGAAATAATGGAACATATAACCTATCTTTAAGGGAATCAAGGAATGCCTCCTGGAGAAGTGTTCTAAGAAGCAGTGAGGGTTCCTTTGTGGAAATGATGTAGAAAGAGTAGCAATGAGGATGGGGGATGAGAAAAAGGTCTAGTAAGTCAGCCGTGGTTTTAAGAAGGCACTTCTGGGAGAAAACCACATTTTCAAGTAGTGAAATTTAAGTGATAAAGATGTGATGTAAAGAAGCTGGGTGGTAGAAAGACATAGCCAATAGCTTGGAAAGATAGAATTAAGAGAAAGTGTCTTTATATTTCCGTTGAAAAAAGACAAACATACTGGTAGACTTACAGAAGAACTGTAAGGGGGAGAAACTGAGAGGGGAGAAACTGAAAAGCAGCAGAAGAGAGGATAATTCATTAATAAAGCATTCATACATGTTTTTAAATAAGTGCCATGTGCTAGGCACTCGATGTGGGAAGCTAGAGATGAGACAGAAAAGGCTTCTTTCTCAAAAGTCAGGTCTCTGTAGGTGAGAGAAGGGAAATAGCATCAAGGTTTGAATGAAATGAAGAGGTAGTCTTGGAGGAAAAAAAAGAGAGTGAAGAAAGACAGAAATTGAGAGATGAAGAAGGAAGTTGAGGATTCATTCCAGATGAAGTGTTTTTAACCAGAGTTAGCTGGTTAAACACTGGAGAGATTGGGATGTGTTTCAGAATGGGATAATAGCATAGAGATACCATAAAAGTAGTAAAAGTAGACTTTACTAAAAAATGTAGGCCATGTAGAGTGAGTGTATGGAGGATTTGGATTAAGGTTGGAGAAGAAACGTAATTTACGTAGTCATAAAGTGGAGAGGAAGAGCCAGTGGAAGTCTAAAGGAAAGATTTTAGGGGGTTTTGTTGTTTTATTTTTTAATTGGTACATATAAGGGCTGGGCAGATTATCAGGAAAGTAGTTTGTTTTTCAACACATTACATGAATATCCCCCTGAGATGTTTCAGCGTGCACAATGGATATACATGGTTTGGAACTGAGGAAAGTGGGCTGAGCCAGAAGTAGAGACCTGGAAGTTATCAGTAAACAAGTCAGTACTAATTGATGCCTTGGGAGTAGATAGCTCACCTGTGAGAGTGAAAAGTGAGAAGAGAAAAGCATTGAGAAAAGCAACTTTAGGAACGCTAGTACTTAGAAGACAAAAGGGAAAAGAGGACCCTGAAGAGCAGAATGTGAAGGAGTAGCCTGAGAGGTAGAAGAGAAGAACCAACAGAGAATAGTGTCACAGAAATATAAAAGGAAGAGCGGATTTATGAGGGGAAGATAAATGAATTTTGTTTTTAGCCTGTTGACTGAAATGTATCTATCTGTGAGATGTCCAGTGTGCTCTTTCTCCCACATTCCCTATCTTGGGGAACATCATTTATCCAGTGACCCAAACCCATCTCCCATTCCCACCCAACACTTGCCCAGAGTCCTAGAATATTTGTCTCCTTACTATGTTTTGAACCCACCATCTCCTTGGCCTTTCTATAACCACTACTTTAGTTCAGACTTTATCTTTTTCATTATTATCATAGGCCTCTCACTGGTTTCCTGGCCTCCTGTTTTGTCCCTCTTAATCTATTTTCCACATTGCTGCTGCTGGTGATAAATAACTACTATCTATTGAGTACTTACCAAGCAGTTTGTTAATTGTTTTAAATGGATGTCTTGTTTAATCCTATCAAGAACCCTTTGAGTTAGTTGTTATTATTATCATTCTAGATTTACAGTTGACG